GGGCGTAATCGGTCCACAAATATCACCCTTGAATTTTTTAAATTGAGGGCCTAGTTATAAGTTTCCCCTTTGCACATGCTAGGCAAAGAAAATCTTCTTGATTTGTGAATTCTTTAGTCTTTAGATTATGGCCATTAGCATTTTTAACTATATTCTATCATGCCAAGTTCTATATGCTTCTTGGTTCTTAAAGATAGTTTTCATTGCAATGTAACCCTTAATAGGCTTTATGAATGTGTAGTACAGGCTAGCTTTTATGGAGGGGAAGCTTTCAACAATAGTCTTTTCATCTCCGTGCATTTTTGTCATGATAAGGTGTTCTGCAAGATTATCATCATTGGTTTCTACATGAAAATTGTTTGCACGTATGTCTTTGAAGCTTAACAAAGTTCTAGTTGATTCAGGGTAAAGTAAGGCTTCTTGGATTACTAGTTCGGTTCCATTAGGGAGTATTATTGTGGCTCTTCCAGTTCCAACAATATGCTTACCGCTGCCAGCGATAGTTGTTACATCTCCTTCATTCTTTCTAAGAGTCTGGAAGTAACAAGTATCTCGTAATATAGTGTTTGTGGTACAGCTGTCTACCAGACACATTTCATCATCCATAGCCATAGTACTACGTTATTCAAAGGAATGAAATTACTCCAGGAATATTTAATCAGATATAAGCTTAAAAGCATAATATAACTAATCTGAGAATATAGATATATTAATATATTATAAGGTCTACAGGACACTATTCATCACAATAACCAAAACTCTATATGAGCTGACATCGCGGACCACACATTCTTGCAGGAACTTTTAAAACCTAATCTTAGTGCCAACCTAATTTAAACTTAATACTAATAGATAGCTAGATACAATTTGGAAGACTAGACAGAGTCCCCATGCACGTCATCCATCGTCTCTTCTCCCAGAAGGTCATCATCTTCAAAATTTTCAAGGTCAAGAACTTCATTTTCAGATGCTTTGTCGATATCCATGCCATCTTGCTGTTCTTTTGATGCGGCTTTACACTTGGGAGCTTCCTGATCCCTTGCAGCCTTGGAACATTCACCCACTTCTAGTGTTGACTTCTTGCCTTCAACATAGTGGGTTTCATGCATGGACTTCTTCTGATTCTTGAGCTCTTGATACAAATTCACTATATGCTTAGGTGTGCGACATATGCGTGACCAGTGGCCTCGCATACCACACTTATAGCATTTCTGGTCTTGTTTACCGTATTCTCCCCCTGATGGAATCTTCTTTGATTTCCATTGCTTCTTCTCGAAGTTTTTAGACTTCTTGTCGTTGTCTTTTATAGGAGCTTTCTGTTCCCCTTTCCCCCTTTTATCACATTTCTTCTTGAATGATGTAGCATTTGCTTCAGGCGGAGGCATACTTCCACTAGGCCGTGAGAGATGATTCTGCATGATGGTTTCATCTTCACCTTGATCTTGCTGCATGGCATTGCTTAACTCAACATAAGTCTTATAATTCTCCTTTTTGTATTGGCGACTAATGTGAGTCATCTTAGGGTGAAAGGTAGACAGAGTTTTTTCTATGAGATCTTTATCTTCTACAGGAAGTTTGCACAGCTTCATGCGTGTGATAATCCCATATAGAGCGGTATTGTAGTCCTCAACAGTCTTGTAACCTTGATAGCGAAGGTTCTGCCAACCGTGTTTGACTTTGGGTGGAATCATAGATTCAATATTTTCAAAGCGTTCACGCAGTGAATCCCACAAGACTTTTGGGTCTCTTTCAGTCATGTACTCATTCTTCAGGGTAGTACTGAGATGATGCCTAAGAAAATGCAGTGCCTGTACCTTCTCAGCATCAGAAGCAACAAAAGCCTTATCTATGGTTTTAATAGTCTTCAGGAGTTCTTTCCCACTAAGAATAATCTCAGCATCAATAGACCAAGCCAGGTAATAGCTACCATTCGGGTACAGCTCAGTGAATTCACGCTTGACAATGTCAGACATATCTGTATGGCATGGAAAATATATGCGTATCAATATACTGCTAGTAAGCTATTGGTTGGCAAAAAGACATTTATGGTCCGTAGATGTCTAAAGGACAGATACACCGTGTATCTATATTCTGAACTGCTAATTAAAAATAAATAAATAATGCACAAAAGAATACACACACACACACTACTACATTCAGTATCTGAGAATTCATATGCAAAATTTCTTAACTTGCAAATCATCCAGCCGAAGTGATTCTTCAAGAACCAGATTTCAAGAACCAACTAGCCTTATCCAGTTTGACAAGAACACAGCTTCCAGCCGGTCGGCCATGGAACTCAAATTGAGTTTGGCTTCATGCCGTGTGCAGGAGCCATTCAGAGGCGCTCTGCAGTGTGATGGCCATGCTGCGGCACCGCTAGTGCGTCGTGCAATATCACACCCTATCAAAACCTAATTGGATCAGAGATTTCAGATCGTAGCTTCTAGGATGGGGTAAGCGGCAGCAGCTTTAAGGATGCCAGCCTCATCGATTGCAAGTGCAAGAGCAGCTGTTCCTCAGGTATGATTGTGGATTCTTTCTAATTTTAGATTAAAAAATCTGCTAGAGGATTGAACCATACTGCTGAACAGCCACAAGAACAAATTTGGGGAAAAAATTTTCAGATCGATTTCTATCGAAAGAAGCGTACTGCGAGACGCGATTGCTACATACCGTCGGTGTGGTGTAGCTTTTCGGCAATGTCGGCGTCGATGTAGAAAACGGCGTGGTCGCAACCTTGTGTTGGTGGCTACGTAGACAACCGATCCGGCGATATTACCAACGATGTGTAAGCGGTGGCAAGATCGACGGAGGATGGTAGAGTCTCGTGCTGATAACGTGTTAAGTAATCACGTTACTAGCGGTAAGGATATCTCTCTTCGTTACACGATCACCCAAGCCAAAAGTAAGAACACAGGAGACACAAAGTTGTGGTGGAGCTTTTCTCTTTATTTCTGATTTCTGATATCAATTACAATGGGGTGCTCCTCCAAATATATAGCCTAGTAAATACTCCATATACGGATGAGAGTTATAATTTGGTATGAGTCCATATCCTTCTAGGACAAGGAAACCTAGCTCAGACTTTTCCTAAAGTGTTAGTTTCCTAACATTAATATACCAATTTCTAGTAAGATATCAAAAACATATTTCCTTCTTGTGATTTCTCCATATCTCTGACGCTGGAACATTTTCCTCCCTTGGGCCACCACCATGAAAGCTGATGAATTTGATCATTGGTTGTTTCCTTTCTGTCGACGTCTAAGTGTGCTTGGTTGCCTTCTCAGTCCTACATAGCATATCATGGATGAGTGGAAGTATATATGTTGAGTGGGTGCACTGTACAAAAAAGAAGTGTGACTATCTTCTGATGCAATGACCTTGTGAAGATGTTTGGTAGCTTGCATGAGCAGATGCAATGACCCTTACACCTAAGACTGACATGCGGGAAATGTCTTTGCTAACTATAATTCGAGAATATCATACTGCTATTTATTTGGTCGTGGCATATGTCTTAATTTTTTAATATTTTTAGGCTAACATGATGGCTTCTTTTAGCATTTGGATGTTAGCCTATTATAGGGCATGCTCGGATCCTACACCACTAATATTATATAGTTGCAAATAATTAGGCTAGTGTGTTTACCGATGAAATCTCTATCTCTACAACTAAATAATACGTAGAGGAATCGTTCACCCAGTTTTAACCTCATATGTTCACCCGGCTTTCACCCCACCTCCCCGCGCAGTATTTGGGCCTAGCCAATCACGCGATCAATCCCACGATAACCCCGTGCCGCCAATCACGCGATTGTATCGTCGTCCCATCACCACTCGCCGCTAGTCACGCGATCGTGCACGACGCCAACCATGATCCTCTCACCGCTAGGCACCAAGAGGCGGACGAGTGTGAAGAGGCAACCTCCAGCCGCCACAGCCTAGGGAGAGGCGATCTCCAGCTGCTCACCGTCGCCCTTACCTGCCAGGGTCCTGCACCGTCCTCGCCGTTGCGCGGCTCTTGTCCGCCGTCATATCACCCTACGCGGCGTATGCATTGCTGAGAATCAATATGCATTGCTGAGAATTAATGCACAACTTTTTGGTGACACCGGCGTATAGTATGCCCGAACTTAAAAATGGCCAAGCAAAGTTGTGGCAATGTGACAAAAGGAGGAGGTTCGACAAACCTAAGATTTCCCCTCTGACCGCCACTAAAGTGACTCAATCATATTTCTTTCCGGAAACTGTTGATTGTATATTAAGTTTGATGCCTGTGGCATATGCTATTGTCTTATTGAAGCAAAATATAAGTTAAAATCAAATTCTAATATTTGGCCATGCGGCATTTCTCTGAGAGCTTGTTTTACATTTGTGTAAACCAAAATGTTTAGTTATTCACTCACACGGTTATTCCTTGGTGTTTCAGGTTTCCTAGTGCGATATTGAACAAAGTTGTTGCTTTGTTAGACAACAAGTGTTACATGAATTTGATTTGTAGGTATATACTTGTTTGCAATAACTGATGTATCTATTATTCTGCTCACAAACTGCTGTATTTCCATTATGTGAGTAATGGAAATGGGGTTCATCTCGGCTCACACACTGTAAAAAGGAGGCCTCATACTCTCAGTCTGCAAACGACCAAGCATGGCATGAGAGGCCGGTTGTGACTTGTGAGACAGTTTCCCCCGAAAGCAAATGTATCGAATGAAGCAGCCGCTCATCAGTGTTGAATTTTCTACTGCAATGATCGAATAAAGCACTGGAGCTATGGAACCGAACTTCATGGCATCGAGGGGTTTTTTTTTCAGTTCGGTTGGACTGAAGGAATGGAGCTGCAATGGCTTCGCCAAAGTGCCCAAGCCCAGCCATATATATACGCGCCCGGTGCCCGCTCGTGTTGTGTTGTGCCCCAAGCCCAAGCAGCCCCCAGCTCATGCCCCCGGCTCACCAGTCACCACTCTCCGCCACCGCGCTCGTACGTGCTCCAGAGAACAATGCCGATCGAACGCTTCGACGTCACGGTCGCGTCACGGACGCTGGTGCGGGCCTCCGACCCACCGCGGGACTTCCCCGCCGTGCTCGCGGCCTCCAACCTCGACCTCATCCTCGGATCCTTCAACGGCTACCTCATCGCGGTGTACCCTGCCCCGCCCGCGGGGTTCCCCGCAGTGGCGGAGGCCGTGCGCGCCGCGCTGCCGGCGTTCCTCGCCCGGTTCTTCCCGTTCGCCGTCCGTGTCGTCGCCAACGCCGCCACCGGCGTGCCGGAGATCGCCTGCAACAACGCCGGCGCCGAGCTCGTGGTCGCCGACGCCGCGGTGGCGCTCGCCGACGTCGACTTCGCCGACGCTGACCGCTCGCTCGGGAACATCCCGGTGCCCTTCGAGCTGGACCTCGCGCTGTCGCTGCAGCTCATGCGGTTCGCGTGTGGCGGCTTCGCGCTCTCGTGGGGGACCAACCACCTGCTGGTGGACGGCCACGGCCTGACGGCGCTGCAGGCCGCGTGGACGGAGCTGCTGCGCACCAGCGCCGTCTCGTGGGAGCCCCACCACGGTCGGGCCTCACTCTTCCGGCCGCGCTCGCCGCCGCGGCGCCGGCACAGCCCGTCACTGGACGCCGAGTTCACGCGGTACGCGCCGGGGGAGCTCCCTAACTCCCTCCTGGTGGTCACCCTCGTGCGCCGCGTCTACGTGGTCTCCGCGGCCGACGTCGACCGCCTCCGCGCCGCCGCCCGCCGCGCCACGTGCCTGGAGGCGCTGTCCGCGCACGTCTGGAAGCTGCTCGCCGCGGCCGTCGGCGGCTCCGACACGCACTGCCGCGTCGCGTGGCTCGTCGACGGCCGGCCGCGCCTCGACCCCGCCCGGTACGACAGGGACACCCTGAGACGCTACGTCGGCAACGTGGTCACGTACGCGTCGAGGGAGGCCGCCGTGGAAGCTATCACCTCGTCCCCGCTGGCCGACGTGGCGGCGATGGCGCGCGCGGCCATCGCGGAGGTGTTCCGGCCGGAGCGGTTCGACGAGCTGGTGGACTGGATGGAGGCGCGCAAGGGGGTGTTGCGGGATGGCGGCAAGTGGACGGAGGCGGTGGGCGCGGGCACGGGGAGCCCCGCGCTGGTGCTGTCGGCGTTCGTGGCGTTCCGGGTGGACGAGGACTTCGGGTTCGGTCGGCCGCGGCTGGTGATGCCGTGGGTGCGGCCGGGGCGGCTGGGGTCCGCGGCCATGATGGTGGCGCGGAACCCGGAGGAGGACGGGTCGTGGGTGGTGTACGCCAGGATGTGGCCGCGCCTGGCCGACGCCGTGGAGGCCGACCCGGAGGCTGTGCTCAAGCCGGCCACCGCCAAGCGGCTCGGGTTCGCCGTGAAGCATACCCATTTCATTGAGCCGGCGAGCCGACTGTGAGAGGCGGCGCTGTGCAGCATACCCATTTCATTGATGTAGCCTAAACGTGTGCTAACTGTGGGCTAATAAGAGCTATTGGAGAGGTCAATTGGTGGCTAGAGCATCTCCGAGAGCTACCTAAACATCCTCATAATCCTTGTTTTTTATAAAGACAGGGAAAAACTCTTCTCCAATAACCCCTAATATCTACTCCTAATCTTTTAGGACTTGGAAAATTCTCCTTCTTCCTCGTAACTTTGCGCGGACGAAGCCACGCGTGGATACGGCGTTCCTGCCGTGCGGAGTCCTTCCCGTGCCTTTTTTTTTGCCGCGGCTCCCTCCTTCCCGCGCTCCTTCGTCGCGAGGTGTTTCGACATCGCTCCTTCCCGCGGCTCCCTCCTTCCCACGTACGTAGACCGATCAACGTCTCTCTTCATCGCTTGTCGTCCAGGTCGACGAACGACGCCGCCGCGGACGTAGCGACGAGGTACGTACTCCGATCTACCGATTTGCCGTGGGCTTGCTGCGCCGCCACCACTGCCATGGCTTCCTGCCGGCTGCCGCCGCCGCTAGGTTTTCCTTGCTCGCAGCTGTCCCTATGTGTTTGCCATGGCCGTGCTCTTTTGGATCGATCTGCTGCTACGTTCTTGTGTCACTGGATCAGAAACCGTCCGTATCTTCTTGCCATGCTAGGTCATGGCCGGATGCCGCCTCTGTGCCAGGCCATGGCGGGCTGCTGCCTCTGTGTGCGAGGCCGTGACACCCTGTGGCCGGCCGTGGCTGCCCGCTGGCCGCCTGCTGCCGCTGTGTGATGCCGCTGTGTGTATTCTGCCGCTGTGTGCCAGGTGCCGCTGTATATGTTGGTACTGAAAGCATATAGCCTACCTGCCAGCGTGGTGTGGCTGGGAGGTGCTGCCGGCGTGCTGTGGCTGGGAGGTGTGCTGCCGGCCTCCTGGGACCTGGCCACGTCCGGATGGGAAAGTTACCACGGCCGACCTAGAGGAGGCTATGGCCGGCTGCAAGCGGACCACCGCCGGCTGGGAGGAGCACGGCTAGGGCAAGACCGACAAAGGAGGCGGCGGCGGCGGCGGCGTAGGGAAGTGCGACCACGCGACGACTTCCGCGCGAACAAAAGAAAGACCGGAAAAAAAACAAGGTGGGACCAATTTTTAATTTTTTAAAATGAAATATTAGGAACTATTAGAGAAGACTTTCTTTTTTTTTTCTTCCAATCCTTTTTAGGAGTTGGGAAACATCATACTCTTTATGAGGAAATTTTAGGAAATTTTTGAAAATGCTCTTAGAATCCATAGCCCTTGTTAGCCCATAATTCCCCATATTTAATCCATTTTCAGAAAGTGGGCTAATTTTTAGCCTTCCGATCCAAACAACCCCATGTTATGTTGTTGTATTCTTCTCTTTACGCTCGAGCGATGGAACGTGCCTTCCATTCGCAAGTCATGTTGCAAATCGATCCTGCGTTCTTATTTAGATTCATGTGTCGATACGTTTCAGTAACATTTGCATGGCTGACAATCAAGGTTTTTCATTGACCTCATCGGCGTCACTTACACTAGCAAGCAGCATCGGCATCGCGCTGACATGCACAGGAAGGCAATGACTTTATCTAGCTGAGCCTCATCGTCGCGTGCACCTGGAGCTGGAGGTGGAGGTCACGGGCTCACAGCTATCCGGCGATGATCCGAGCATGGCGGCACAGTGGCGCTGGCGCTGAAGCAGCTGAGCATCGCAGGCGACGCAAGATGGGCGAGACCGAGGCCTACAGGGAGGCATGGTGCACCCGGCGATAGTGAATCGGCGAATGCAGATCGGCGAATTGGAACGGCGGGAAGCACAGCATCTACGCGCGACAGAGTCGAGACAGTGAAGAATGGGCGACTAGTAGTGGCTGCTGTATGAGGCTTATATATCCGGCTAAGCTTAAAACGGGATGGAAGCGAGAGCATACTGCAAATGCAAATACGGGCGGTAAGACCCTCGTCCCGTTTTTAGTCTTTCGAAATGGATGGAAGATGGAAGGATACGAAGACGCTACTGATGGAACTAGGGAAGCAGTTTTTAGTCTTGCCAAGGCTGGCTGTTGTGTTGTTAGCTATCACCAGCTGGGAGCTAGCGTAGAGGTGGGAGCAGTGTTTGAAGAAGCTGCTGATGGCGGTGAACGACGGACCTGCACTGGGCTAATAATAGGTGGGTGAGCAGTGCAAAGGAATGGGCGAGGAAGCAGAACCACCTGCCAAGGTGTTGAGCATCATGAAGCGACAAGGATGAGTTGACTTGTCAGAAGATGGCGTGACCTATCTAGATCTGCAGCTAGAAATGGGGTTCTACCTAATTAAAAAAAAAAACAGTAGTGCATGTACATGTGCACGTACGAGCGTACCACTTCGTGCAAACTGTGCTTGCGTTGCCCATGCTCAACTGAGTGGTGTAAATATACCAATCCTACGATTGGAGCATAGATATTTTGTTTGCTTTTTCCATGATTATTTCTGTAGCGTGCAAAGACAAGGAGGAGTACACCTTTTTAAAAAACAAAGGTAAATACGCTTTTATGTGCAATAAATTATATGATGATTTATACAAGTTTCCATTATTAAAGCATTCACTCTTCTTTTTACTTAAATATTTTTTTTATTTTTACTTAAATAAATTATCCAAAAGTTTAGACCGATTCACTTGTCTCTCCTTGTTCCGTCCCATGCAGAAAAGCTGGCGCAAATTACCAAAGGAAAAATCACATCAATTTTCTTTGTAAGATCATTTGAAGTTTTGAACCTTGCGTCCTCATCATCAGATTTGAGAAATGAACTATCACAAAGTGACTAATTTTGACTAGCTCATATATATCCAAGGGACACAATCTGACAATAATTATTTTCGCCAAAAAGATGTTGTGATAGATGAATAGCAATTGTTATCACAATTCACAATCATGTTGAGATCATGATTGCATCAATCGATAGATCATATCTAGTGTTTGCCAGAACGCATTAAAATTGTCATTTACATGCGTGTAAACAGTAAGTAGAGGGTCTGCATACAGTTTATGGCCTAGTCATCGAATTAAACAGTAAACATATGTAGACGATCAACACTACTAAGGCCTTGTTTGGATGCATGTGTATCCACCTCAATCCACGTGTGTTGGAGTGGAATGGAATGGAATTTAGTTTAATTCTACTCTAATCCACTTCAACACACATGGGGATTAGGATGAATACATGCGCATCCAAACAAGGACTAAAATGGTTCAAACTTTGTAATTGAACAATAACAAAACTTGTTTCATCAGCTAGAAATGGTTAAAAAAATGGTTTAAATGTGTTGCGTGAGACTATATATATGTGATTCATGTCAATGTGAGAAATTAGTATCTAATAAACATTAAATATAATGTGTAATGGCATTTACTTATGTTAAAACTATGTGTCTACGACTATATGTATGTTTATTACTAATTGTTTATATGGTTGGATGTCTAATTGTGTGGTTTCGTGCACAACTCAAATTGCGCTCGAAAAGAATTCTGGCTTCCTTGATACAAGGGCTAATAATAGTTAGCTAAAAATTAGCTAAAGTTAGTCCCGACACATTTAAAAATAGGAGGGCTATAAGGTGGGCTAATTTTTTAGCCGAGCTCTAGCTGATCCAAATCCAAACATGTCCTTAATTACGGAACTATATATAATATTTATAGTTTTATTTATATCTATTATATTTATATTTATTTACAAATACAAATTGTTTAAACAGTCTAATCGTCGAATCAAATCGAAGGTCTTAAACGCCTAAGCTAACACTCATCATATTCATATCATTGCTCACGGGTCCAATAAACATAAGGCATTGGCCCTATTCGTTTGTCTTATGAGCCGTACTATTTCAGCGAATGAACAATGTTTTTCTCTCACAACAAATCAGCGAACAGTACTTTCAGCTATGGCTTTTCAGCAAAGCGAACATGGCCAATGTCACTATCCATCATGTGACGCTAGATCCAAAGTAGTACATACCTACCAGCAAGGTCACAAATTCTCTCCCCTTTAGGCCCCGTTCGTTTCCCGGGAACAGACACCGGGAAGAATTCCTAGCCAGATTCGTTGCTTAATTTATATACAAATTTTCGTGACCGGAACGATTCCTGGCGTGATATGCCCTAACCGAATGAGGCCTTATTAGAAGCTGATCCTTGCCTTTCGTTTACCGGTGTGACGTAACTCCTAAGGCCACGTTCGGTTGTTTAGGAATCAAACCTGACTGGAGGATCCCTTCGATAATTTGTATAGCGATGGAACCATTCCTGACCTGGAATGGTCTGAAACAGGCTAACTGAACGGGCCTAAATCACGTGCCTACTCTTGTTTCCTCCTGGAAGGAACCCAGCCGAAGTGATGGGGTCGGCTATCTTTGCACAGGCCAACATTAATTTCGCTGCTGTAAAAAAACCTCTGGCGTCATCACGAAGACAAAGCATGTCATGTTTTTTCAGCCCGGTGTAACGAGGTTCTTCTTCCATGACCCGGCGTAATGCGACTGTAGAAATGCACCCACGTAGAAATATATTAAAATCTAATATTGTCCGCAACCGCCGCAACAATGCACCGTACAGGTACAGGCACCACCACGCTGTGCTAGTTACTATGACAGTGATCACATTGAACAAATTGGATTTAGGTCGGTGTATACTTGGTTCTATGTTTTATGGACATTGACAATTGGGAGCATGCAACAAAAAAGACGCAACAAACCCTTAGCAAATTAAACAGATTAGTGTCTTTATGGACTGTATGGATAGATTGGGACTAACAACTAGTCCTATTAGCTCATATAAATAGACTAGTGAACTAACAGTTAGTCCATGACTGGTAGACTAACAATTAGTCTACCTGTTTGGTTGTTTAGGGACTAAAAATTAGTCCATTAGTTGTTAGTTCTAATGTTCTATGATCTAAATAAGACCTTAATCATCGTTATTATGACGGTCGCATTTCCAAGGAAGG